ACTCAGGTCACGGGGTTTTCCTTTGTTTCTTTATCTTAATGGCAGCTTGCGCTCTTTTTTTCTTCTCAAAATTGGTGGTCCATTAATTAAGAAGCTATTCTGTATCTTCTGACTATTTGTTCAAAACATCCCTTTTGCCCATAAAAAATAATGTTCTTCTTTTCTATAATTTCTTAAGAAAAATCATCATCATCATCATCATCATCATCATCATCATCATCATCATCATCATCATCATCATCATCACTATTATTATTATTAAATTCTTACATCACATATATCATATTTTATATAATATCAAAGACTTTGAGGGCGCTCTCCAGGTCAAGAGTTACGTGTGCGCTTCTCATTCAATAGGTCCCAAGTTCGAAACCTTCAAGAGATGGAAAATTGTCTCCTCTCAAATGTCCTCCTTTCACCTCCTTCCCTGCTCTCAACCCACGTACTGTCGTCGGCTTTTGTCTACACTCTCTGCCCCCTCCCCTCCCCCCCCCCCCCCCTGCTCCAGGTGCTCTTTTTGCAGTCTTTCTACTGCTACTCTGTGGTATTCTTACTGCTACCTTCTTTTTTTTTGCCCCCTCCTCTGGGCTCCTGACTCTTTCTGCTGCCTTTCTACTGCTACTCCTTAGCTCCTTCTTACTACTGTCTTTCAGCCACATCCCTGATCTTAGGGTAGTTAAGTTCTAACACCTAGCCGTCTCGGATAAGGGCTAAAAATTCCGGAGGTCCCATGTACAAGTTGCGCAGGTTAAATATCCATTGGTGGTCCAAAATCGATAAGAGAAGTCTTCAGTTGCCATCTGGGCAAAATTCAAAATTAATTCATACCAAAAACTGAAAATGATGAATTTGTCCCGCGCGCTCGTATGACCTAAATCAGATTAAGGCGTCGTAAAACACCTATCAAATAAATAAAAAACACTTTGACGAACTAACTACCGTACTCCTAATTTGAAAGGCACTCTTCGGTAAACTGTGCTCAGGAAAAGGTTTAGTGTTTCCTCTTTTTCTTGGAGAGCTGAGGGCGGATACACAACTTATTTCTGGAGTTAAACCGACCCCCCGATCTGAGAAAAAACAAACAGTTCTTCAGCGGTGTTGAGTTTCGTATTTTAAACACGCTATTCTTGGTATGTACCTCCTGGTCTAGTGCTTAGTTGCCTTCTTTTCATTCTAAATCTCGAAACTTCTTTTGTTTATTTGAAAAAGGATGTGTGTTTTACAACAGAATATTGCACAGGCTACCTTGTTAACGCGCTTACTTCATCCACTTTTTCGTCCCACTGGAAAACCGATATTGCGTGTTCTTAGTGTGTATTTCATTTGTTTGAGTCGGCAGGTATATTATGTGGGTGTCTTTTGTGAGTATATATGTGTGTGGATGTGTGTGAAAGTGTTTGTATGTGTGTGGGTCTATGTGTGTGTTTATATGTGTGTGCACGTTCGTGTGGGTGTGTGCGTGTATGTGTGTGTGTGTGTGTGTCTGTGTGTGTGTGTCTGTGTGTGTGTGTGTGTGTGTGTGCGTGCGTTTGTATGTGTTCGCGTGTGTGTTTTTATCTCTTTTTTTTCAACCACCGTCATTCATTGTGTCCATTATTGGAATAGTTACCTCACAGAAGAACTAAACAACAAGACAGTAATATTTCCCCGTAACTTTCAACAAGTCCACGTCTACGAGCGTCTTCACTTCTTCACTTCCTACTGAGGGGCGTGACTGCAAAACCCCCGCCTTATATTCGCGCGCGGAGTGAGAGAGCAGGAAGGAACTGGACCCATGTTGTCCTGGGTTCACCTCTGCCCAACCTCTCTGTTGTTTACCTGTCCGAATTCTGACACGCTCCTGACCTTGACCTAACATAAGTCTGTGTTGACCACCCCACCAACCCACCCCCACCCCCATCTGTTTTGCGGTTGAGAGATCATATCATTATTATGCTCACGTGTGAGGCTATCTTTGAGTCGCACTTGTTTCATTTCTGCGTCGTGGCTTGTTTGGCACTGCCGAAGTCACAGAAATGTGCGGCTAGCTGTGTTGTTTGGCGCTTATAGAATACACAAACCAATCACACAAATAAATAAATAGTTGTGTTCATTCTCGAACGAAGATACTCAAAGAACGTCATTCAAACGCAGTCTAGACGACCCTGTGTTGATGAGTGGCTGGTAGAAAATAAATACTCCATCCTGGTCTGTTTTGTTCTGTTTTTGGTTGTTGTTTTTTTTCAGGGCAACTTGAATTCTCAATTTTCTCCATTTTTGAAGTGTGGGTGGTTGGCGGGTGCTCTGGTGTGGTTTGCTTCTTCTTTCCTATCAAACATCTATCGTCCTGATCTCCCCTTCATCATTTTTATGTTTGTTACTCTCTTGTAACACCTTTAATCTTCTGGCGCTCATATGACCTTGCGCAGTTGAGAGCGCCGTAAAACCTCTACTAAAACTTAAACTTAACTTATTTTTTAAGTAAAGTGCCAAATGTTTCGAAGGGGCGCTACTGCATTGGGTCGAACACGACAGGACACTGGGCGACTCAAAATGTGGAATTCAAAAGATTTGCAAAAAACGAATTGGGAAAACGCGAAATAATTTTTTTTTTTAACGTGCGCGAAAAAAAAAATTTAAACGCTCCAGAATTTAAAAAACAAACAAAAACAATAATTCAAGCAGCAACAAAATTCGCCTTCATATTGATGTTTGGTTCTTGCAAATGAAGAACATGGGTCTGCTGTCAACCCACGAAACGCCCTTTTTGTCATTTTTGGCGCCAATTGTTTTTTTAAATATACAACATCAATAGTCTGATTAGTTACCCTATTTGTGTGAAAAAATTCTATGTCAAACCATAACCACCTTTTGAATAAATTAGCATACAAAATTTGGAAGAACGCCTTTTGTCAAATTTACGGTCACGCTGACAAAACGCCTTTTTTTTTTAGAGAGGTCGCTGACAAAACGCCTTTCGTCCCCCCCCTCCCCACCCCCTCCCCCCAAACAGCCGTGGGGAGGAAAGGTTTTCTATCTCTCAGCTTGTTCTAACAATGGGCGTTCCAGTACACTGCTCTTTGGGGACATTCCTAAACCAGGGGGGTTGTAAAACAATATTAATTGCCTGCCCTGGTTATTCTTTGAGCTGAAGTATGACACATTATATATAGCCCTGGATCTCTTTGTCTTTTTGGGAAGATTACTGCGCTACCATTAATGTCCTCATGACTTGTCGCATGGTACACGAGATGGCTCACTTTCGCCGTACATTAAAATAGTACAAAACGACCATTAAAAAATCGCAAAGAAAATACTTCAAGCAAAACAATGTCAGAACGTCTTTTTATTGTCCTGTACCAGCATACATAATATCATTATAGTGGTTCACGCCTCGGGTACTGTCTCCCTCCGACGCCCCCCCCCCTTCCCCCCACTCAAACACACTCATACACAAAAACATTCGCACACATACACATACACATACACACACATTCTCATATACATACACACACATACATATAATAATATACATAAATATACACATACACAGACTTACACATACACATACACATACACACACATACATACACATAATAAAATACATACACATACACATACACAGACTTACACATACACATACACAGACTTACACACACACACACACATACACACACGCACACACACACACACACACACACACACACACACACACACACACACACACACACATATATATACAAGAAGATATATACACACATAAAAAAAATTATAAAAACTAATTGAATCCTACGTTCTATCATAAAAATAATTATTAAACTCGAAACCAGCGTATCAACATTAACAGTACAAAAAAGAAGTATCTTTATCAAAAGTGCATCTTGTCGCATTTAATTTTCTTTTCACAAAGAAGACGCACAGTTGGTGGTATTGATCTCTTCTTAGACTTCTCAGTCAGAATTTGGAGATGTGAGCTGAGATGCAGAATAACTTAAAAGTTTACCGCCAACCACTGGAAAATGGCGTTCTGTCAGCGAACTTCTAAAAAAGCGTTCTTGATTAAACGCATTCTCAGGGAGAATCATCATCATCATCATCATCATCATCATCATCATCATCATCATCATCATCATCAAGTGCCAGATCTGCGACAGACATCGCCGATCATGGTTCTCCATTTATTTCTTTGCTCGGATGCTCTCAAAAAAGCTACGTTTCCCTGATATTTCCCTTTACCCATTTTTTAGATATCTCCAGTAGATTGTTCTTGGCCTACCTCTGCCTCGTTTGCCTTCAATTTTGCCAGTGAGAGCTAGATGTTCAAGGCCCTTATGTCTATTCTACTGCATTTGCCGTTTCCTGATTGTTTTTAACATTGAGCGTCCCACGTGGGCTTCATCAAGCACCAGCACCTCATTTGATTTCTTTTCCCTCCGCGATATTCTTAGCAGTCTCCAAAGAAACTACATAAAACCCATAAAGGGTGGCAAAACAACAACGTACATCCAAACATACGCTCCTTGTAACGTCAGTAATACAGAGGAAGAAAGACCATCATTTTATTTCCAAGACATGAATGACCACATTAACGCCATCAAGAGCAAAGAAGATATATTTATCTTGGGAGATTTAAATCGCAGAGTTGGACAAAGAATTAAAGAACCCCCTGGGAAGAGTACTTGGGACCCCACAGAGATAAAGACACAGACTTCAACAGTAACAAAGTGAAGCCAGAGGGCTCGTGGCTCGTAAATACCAGGTGAAATTAGTACCCTGGACGCCGCTACCCGCGCCAGAGAACCGTAATTACAACTCGTATTGTTGGACACACCACTACTGTCCAGGTTAGCATCTCACCACTACCCGCGCGAGAAGTGTAATTACAAACGGGACGCCACTGTCCAGGACAACATCCTGTAGAGCAGGGAACCTTAGAGTGGTGGCGTATATTATTATTTATAATACCTTGCTGCTGCAAAATCAGTTAAGTCCGTGATTTGTAAGATCACCAAGAACGATATTGAGATCTGTCTCCCTTCCTGTTTATAATATATAAGGACACAATAAAGCAAGATGCAAACCAAAGCCCAGAAAACCTAAATGAACTTCTGTTTGCAGACAACCAATGTTTTATTCATCCAAACCAACAATACCTCCAAAATCACACTATCGAACTGAACTAAAGCTGCCAGAAATTTAACATGAAAATAAGCACATCACAAACAAAAGTTATGAAAGTGAGCCAAAACCGTAGTCCCCTGGACATCCATGTCAATAGTAAACAACTGAAATAGGTGAAGAAGTTCTAATATCTTGGCAGCACTTTTTCTGAAAACAGGTCCATAGATAGAGATATAGAAATGCGAACTCAAAAAGCCAACGCATTCACCTACCAGCTCGCACCCCTCCTATCTCGTCCAAACATCTACATGGACTCAGAGAGACAGCTTATCACCTCAATATTCATACCAACATTAGGCTACCAGTGTCAGATCTGGACATTAAGTAAAACCCTTGAAAGCAAAATCACTGCATGCGAAATGAAATATCTCCGCAAAACCCTTAACATCACAAGACAAGACAGGCAGAGAAATGAAGAAGTAAGAGCAGCGAACGGCATTGAGTCCTGCCTGCATTACATAGAAAGACAGAGGATAAAAATAATGGTTTGGCCACCTGTTACGTATGTCACCTGGCCAGCCAGCCTCGAGAGCCTACAACACTAAGCACTCAGGTTATAAAGGAAGAGGAAGGCCACTCAAAAGGTGGATCAAGGGTGTCAAGGAAACCCTGAGAGAATACATAATAATAATAATAATAATAATAATAATAATAATAATAATAATAATAATAATAATAATAATAATAATAATAATAATAATAATAATAATGATAGTAATAATAATAATAATAATAATAATAATAATAATAATAATAATAATAATAATAATAATAATAATAATAATAATAACAACAATTGCATTTATATAGCGCATTTCCATGCTCAAGAGCATGCTCAATGCGCTTTACAACTATTATTACCCCAGCAGGCCCTCTGAGAACACTCAGAAACATTCTCGGCTTCCGCGGAAGCATACAGTGCAAGCTGCAGATTTCACGCGCTCAAACACTATCAAACTGACAAGATCGTTCACTGTCTATAGACGGGTACCCATTTCCACCTGGGTGAAGTGAGGAAAATTTGTGCAACAACGTCGGGCCCCTGACGGGATTCGAACCCATGACCTTACGGTTGCGAGTCCGAGAGCCTAACCACTAGGCCACCACGCTACAACTGAAAGAGCTGCGGAGCTGGCCTACCATAGAAAATTGCATCTCCCCTCGACGCCTAACGGCAACAGAGAATGAAAAAGTAAAAGTAAAATAAGTAGATCAAACGCCTTGGTTCACTCTTTCACAACCAGGGGGTGTTTCCTCGCCTGGACCAGCCCCTATCTGTGACCTACTTTCTGATTCTGCCTATTCTCAAAAAAATTAAAAATCTTGAGTTCAATTTTCAATATTAACCACATGTATCATCTTATGAAAGTAAAAGGAGAAATGTTGACCTGTATTAACATTATTGCGAAAAACGATCATTCTTCAGTCTGAGATTTCAGATTTGATTGTTTCAAAAATAAGTGTGGTTTTGAAGTAGGAAATGGCGAGTAGAAAAGGTGTTTTGTCAGCGCAGGGAAGTAATTGGTGTTATCGATTAAGGAATCAACGAGGAAAGACGTCACGATAATATGAGTTTGGCTTAAATAGGTCACATCGTGTGCAAACTGTGTCCTTGTCATGATGAATGGTGACAGTTGGCAAAATTTCAAGAGTAGGCCTACGTGTTGTTTACCACCAAACCTGCTGTTGTTGCTGTTGTTGTTTTCGTTGTAGTTATTGCTATTGTTGTTATTGCAGTTGTTGTGGTTGTTACAGCTGTTGTTGCTTCTGTTGTTAATATTGTTGCTGTTGTTGTTTTCGTTGTAGTTATTGCTATTGTTCTTCTTATTGTTGTTGTGGTTGTTGCTGCTGTTGTTGTTTCTGTTGTTAATGTTGTTGCTATTGTTGCTATTGTTGTTGCTGCTGATGTTGTTGTTGCTTTTGCTGCTGTTGCTGTAGTTGCTGTTGTTATTGCTGTTTTCTTGTTGTTGCTGTTGCTGCAGCTGGTGATGCTGCTGCTGCTGCTGCTGCTGCTGCTGCTGCTGCTGCTGCTGCTGATGATGATGATGATGATGATGATGCTGTTTTTATTTTTATTTGTGTTGTTGTCGTTATTGTTATTGTTGTTGTTATTGATGTTGTTGTTGTTTTATTCACCCTTTTTTCCTCCCGTATACATTCCTAATTACAGCAGTAAGGCCCTTCCCTGTCGCACACAGGCCTCCCGGGTTCCATTCCCAGAATGTGTAGGGAGTACCTCGGTCTGTCTGCCTGGATGTTATTCCCTCTCGGCTCAGGTTGACCCTCTCATGCTGGACTGGAGCAGGCCTCCTAATGATCTAAACTGTGTCGATGGGAGCGTATGAACACCTACCTCTATCTAAAACATTCTTTGAATCCCACATCTGTGTCAGTTGTCGCATACAATTTAATGACGAAAGATTAAAGGCAACAGGGGCAGGAACGATACGATTTTGTCGAATCACTCGCCTTGGAGAAAGCTCTGACGTGTGCACTCCTCCACCCCCTCCTCCCCCTCCACCCCCTCCACCCCCTCCTCCCCCTCCACCCCCTCCACCCCCTCCACCCCCTCCTCCCCCTCCGCCCTCTCCTCCCCCTCCACCCCCTCAAAGTCAAACCGGTCGACCCGGTCCACCTCCACCCTCTCCTCTAAGATAGTGGCTATGGAGCAGTCAACAAACCTAGATCAGAATGTCCTGATACGCCGTTGACCTCTATTGAAGACAGGTGACCCCTATACTAGCCTGTCTCGTCCTGTTTGTATTTCGTGGTCGCCGAACCGGTCATGTCACCAGGGGCGAAGCGTCTACAGAATCAAACAATCACTGCTTCCCTTCTGTTTAGTTTCAGTTGAGGTTTTACGGCACTCACAACTGCATACAGTCACATGAGCGCCAAGGGGTGGATGTCAACAGAGAAGTCCTTACAGGAAATCAGACTTACTCTGCTCACCTCTCTAGTTTCAACAGCACAAAGTCTGCTTCGACTATCAAGGCACCCCGGAAATAGCGGGTCACAACAGTGTGATAAACATACAGATGAAGAAAGGGAAAATGACAATAGTAACTTAGTAAGGATTAGGAAAGAAATTTACAATTCTATTGTGCACTAGAGCGAGAAATGCCCCCCCCCCCCTTATGGGAATGGCCTAAAGACACTTCGGTCAGTGGCACCGCCCCGGGGGGGTCTGCTTCCCTTCCCTAATCTGGGAACATCGCGGCCGTCAAATACACCCAAAGACGTAGGCCTTATAAATGTATGTACATAATATTTTAAATTTGAGTCGTGTGCGTGTGCACAACACTCAAAACTGTTCCATTGCGTCTTAAATACCCTGTTCACCCCTCTTGGGCCATTTTCAAAAGCAGCCACAAGCACTGATTATGTAAGCTAACAATAGGATTGGTGAAGTCTGCATAAAAGGTCTACATGTGTGTGTGTGTGTGTGTGTGTGTGTGTGTGTGTGTGTGTGTGTGTGTGTGTGTGTGTGTGTGTGTGTGTGTGTGATTGGGGGGGGGGGGGTAACTCCTAATAACCTCGTGGCTGACGTGAGTTCTTGGTTTTGTTTTTCCTCCAACTTTTATCGCGCCAACATCAGGTCACTGATATGAATTCCTGGCCCCGAAAAGCTAGCCTAGACAAAGCAATTTGTGCTATGGTCATCTGTGCTTCTTTGCCTTCTGTTTATGTATTCACATCTTTTGGGGGCTCCAGTGGCTAAGTAAGTAGTGAGTTTAGACTCAAGTAATGCCAAGCAAGAGTTGGTGACACGGGGATCAGATGGGTGGTCACTGGGGTGTGTCCTTGAACAAGACACGACATCCCTAGCTCAAAATACAGGGCGCTGCATAGTGGTGAACGACAAGGGCTTGGTTGTAAACTGTTCTGTATGTGTGTAATATTGTGTACTTATGTATGTATTTGTGCATGTATTTATGTATGTACGTATTCATAATTATGTATTTATGTATGTACGTATTTATAATTATGTATGTATGTATGTACGTATTTATAATTATGCATGTATGTATGTACGTATTTATAATTATGCATGTATGTGGATGTATGTTTGCCATTACAAACCAAAGTGCCCTCCTGGGACAAATAAAAGTGTAATTCATTATTTATTTGTACTATTTTATCTATTATTTTTAGTTACATTTAATGTTGCAAAACCATAACTACGTTTTGCCCAAAGTGGGAAGGAAATTATTTAAAGTGAGCTATTTTCTCAATTATTTTGGTGTGTGACCGTAAACTAATTTTATGAATTCAGGATATTTTTGTTTCAATCACACTTCAGTGATGCTGCCTCGAGAAAGAAGTTTGGCTTATTATGCTCACATTACGGGGCAAGTTTTCGTGTGTGGCCTCATTTCTGGCAGGGTCTCTGTGTCACTTTGCTCACACTCTGTCAAACAAATCTGCCCTCGCCCCTGGCCGCAACTATCAGTTGTCAGGCGGAGAGTGCAGAAACTCGACAGCCAGAAACCAACACTGTGTCATTGTTCTCAGGAAAACTGGGGCTGAGAACATGACCCAACGGGGTCACAGAGATAAAGGGACTTTGACACAATTTGTTATCGTATCGGGATTCAAGAACTTTTAGATCCAGGACACGGTGTCCTGTGTGACTTCACAACAGAGCATTAAAATTTGAACAACGTAACGACTGAGCGGCTGTACTGCAGAGGAACGGTCTTGACAAATTCCTCAAACTTCCTAGTTGATTTAGTTGATTACCTAGTACGTCAAGTCAAATTGTTGTTGAATTGTTGCCCTCGTAGCGACCTCAATTTCAATGTGACTTTGACCCATAGATGCTTTGACCTTTTAGTTTTATAGTTTTATATTTCTGATCTCTTCTTCGGCTGCCTCGTCAGTGAGATAGGCTACTCGTACTCTTAGAGAGAGAGAGAGGGGAGAGAGAGAGAGAGAGAGAG